GTGTGTGTGTGTGTGTGTGTGTGTGTGTGTGTGTGTGTGTGTGTGTGTGTGTGGTGTGTGTGTGTAATAAAATTTACAATAAATTTTTAACTATTAAAACTTAGATATGTGTAGCAAATTGATTACAAATATAAATTTAATACGAAGAAAGAACCGTAGCGATTATTTTGCAATATGAGTGAATATTATAAAACATAGTTATAATACGTATTACAATATCTGTATTATGAATATGTGCGTTGGCTTCACGATGATTATCTTTCAAACCAAACGCAAGTTTAGTCACCTATGATCACAATGATTGTTGCTGCACGTATCAATATTGTTGACGATAGAAATGTTTAGATAGCTTCAACGTATGCCAAGTACCGAATCAATTGCTAGACGCATTCGCTTAGCTGAATAATGAACGTTTACGCAGATAATTATCCGAGTGCTGATGATTGACCGAATAATGAATATTAATATGGTTGATCGTTCGAATAAATTATTCAAATCATTGTGGCGGTTCGATGAATCTTCGAGTAATCATCAATACAAGTGAATAGTTCATCGCAAACAACGTCTATTTATAGATACTATCGGAATCATGTCTTTCAAGCAATCGACTCTTTTCTTGATCTAGAATAAAATAATGCAATTGCTTCAATATTAAAATCAGAAATCGAGGGTATGACTCTGAAATCTTAATTATATAAAGAATGTAAAATTAAATTATTGACAGAAAGAGCATATCTATAATTATTATCATTATCCTTTTTAGTTTCTATTAGTTTTTATTAGTGCGATAAAAACAACCATTAAAATTACAAGAAAAAGATTCGTAAGCAAATGAATGTAAAATTGCATATTTATAAATGATCATCATTTATCATTACGATGCTATTAAGAGCTAATAATAATTTGTAAAGCTAGAAAATTTATGCATGGTATCAACTGCAAAATGAATGCTGGAGCTTAACAAAATCTGGTATTAAAAATGGCGATTTTAAATAAAATAGAAGGACCATATAGTGTATACAAATGAGGGAATTTGAACAATCTTCTCTCGTCAACGCTAATTGATTTAACTGGAGCAAGGATTAGAGAAAATTTTAAATGACGCACTTTTAAGCTTCTTTCTTTTTCGAATATCCGAAGCTGGCAGGCTCCATTATGAAGCTCTCGATCCTCTTTTCGATTCGAGATAACGTCGTCCTCGCCCGCTTGGAAAAATATTCCGTCAGAAAAGCAGCTTTCCTTTCTTTAGGTTTGGCGTCCCGTCGATTACAGGCGACCGGGGGCCAAAGATATCGTTGGAAGTGAGCCTGTACGATAATTACAGTTTCCCTGGAAACTTTCGATGCAATTACGAGACGTCATTATGAGCATTTAACCGAGCAGGCCTGGCAATTCTGTCCTTCCTATCCTCCCCACTTCCAGCCTATAACTCTCATACACGCGTGCTTATGCCTGAATTTACGAGAATAATTATTATCGATCGAAAGAGCGAAAGGGCGTGTTGAATGTGTGACGATTCCTGCAAAGCCGCGTGCGGATCGTTAATAATGCTCGATATGTTAAATGTGGCTGAACCGTAATATCATTATATTAAATCTATGAAAATCTTTCTTTCTATTAGCAACATGAATTTAACAATGCACAGCAGTTGTTCCTTTAATTATGTATGTATTTATGTAAATTGTGCATATTATACTTTCTAAGAGACTCTCCATGTAATTTATTTAAATCTACCATATAAGCATGATCTTTTTATTACTTTAATAATACATTTTTATATAGCAAATTTCGTTACATTCCTTTGCAGTAGGTACGTAGTATGGTAGTTACAATTAGAGCTTGATTATTATTATTATTATTATTATATTTTACATAAAATGATTAACTCAGCATTTGTATTGTTATAAAACAAACAATTTCTTATAAAACAAAAAGTTTTTGAAATATTACGTTAATAGAATTTTTTATTAATTACGGAAATAATAAATTACTGATTTAGGAATTAAAGCTCTTGTTATACGAATACCAAATTTCTTATACTGAATTTCCGGATACTTTACATATTAATTCCATTTCTTGCGCGTGTACAGCTGAACATGCGAATAATTTGAAATCATCATTGTAAAATATGTTTAAGAAAAAAAAAAAGCTTTATTGACCCATCGAGCGAAGAGAAACAACAAGCTTTTCTTACGCATCGTACGGCGGCAGCATCATCTTGGCATCGCTTCAGATATCTTTTCTTCTGCAGTCAAGTTTAGTGAATCCACATGTAGGGCCCATACATTGCAACACACATACGCATCATATAACTGTATGTACTTTTATAAGTAATAGCTCAATAAATAATTGAGAAAAATTAAAGTAAAATTTTATCTTTTTTTAAAAAAAGGAATAATAAGAATAAGATTAAGATTCACATAAATTTTTGTATAAATAGAGTAAAATAGTAAACAGGCTAGGCTCATTTTCTTATTTTTCTTATTTTTAAAAGAACAGATATTTTTACTTTCATATATTGTGATTACAATACAATAGCTATAAATGCACAATAGTTGCACTACAATAGCATTAAAATCCTTAAGAAACTGACAATACATTATTTCCATCGTATAATATTATAATGTTTTTATAATGTACCTTTTTTATAAATTTCTTTTTTATTTCTTAAAAAACTAACTGCAGTTACATACTATTTAAATTTCTTCCAAAAAACATTTTCCTTTATAGCATTAGCAATACCATATAACATAAAATACTAATTGTAAGTTCTAAATGCAATATTGTAAGTACATAAAAAACACAGTACTATTGTTAAATTTAAATTTTAGAATATAATAAGAGAAATAGAATGAGATGCTATAATAGGATGCATAAAGAATAATGCATAGATGTATAAAAAATAATGTTAGAGATGATTATTTATTATCTTACCCGTTCAGTTTATACATTAAAATACTCCTTATCGATCTACTCACGAAAGTAAGGCCTTGCGCACAATGGAGGAAATATTAGAAACAAGAATAAATATTAAGATTTCAACCTATCAGAAACCGTATATTCCGGTGTAACTAGTATCTGAGGTTGAAATCTTAATATTTATTTCTGTTCCTAATATTTGATATATTGTGCGCAAGTCCTAAAACGCGACGGATTCCATTTGATCTTCCTCGCTTGCAAAGAAGGTCGCGTGCCATGAAAGAGTTCAAATCTGAGACTCTTATGCCGGCTGTTAATTAAGGGGATTAAACAGGAAGTCAAGCAATTGCTCTTCGAGGAAGAGCGCGCGATGGCAATGCTCAATCGAGAATAGAGTGATAGAAAAGAAACTTGGAGAAAGAGGTTTCTCTGATGTAAAAAAAAAAGAGAGAGAAAAAAGAGAACGCAAACAAGGAAGTAGAACGTCCTTGAACGACGCATTAAAAAGAAGGAAAGGGGAGGGAAGAAGAGAAAAAGGGAGAGAGGGGGGAGATGAGGGGGATGAGAAAGAAGGAGAAGGAAGGACAAGAAGGAAGAGAAAAGGAGAATTGCAGAACGACGTTTTCGCAATGAAAAGGGTTGACTGAGTATAAGTGGGTAGCTGAAAGGAGCAAGAGTCGGCGGAACGAGGAGGACGCTCAGGAGGTTGAAAACTCGGAATGGGAGGAGAAGGGGGTAAAGAGATGAAGAGGGAAGCAGTGGTAGGCGGGAGAAGGTAGATAGGGGGCGAATAGAGAACGGCTTGTGCATTTGAAGGAGTTTAGCTTTTCTCGTATCAGATTTCGTTTCCACGAGTGGCGTTGAGTTGAGAGGTCTGTGTTGGCTCGGAGAAATGACTCGAGAGCCCGAAACCTTTCCCCTCTCTTTCTCTTTCTCCCTTATTCTCTTTCTCCGCTCACCGCCAGTTCCTTTAGTCACCCTTTTACAATCTTCCCACCCGACTGCATCAATGCGTTTCGACGCTATCCTTATTTGATGCCCAACGGCAGATTTACTTCGTACAGGAACTAACGAGAGATCCTGTCGTTTCACATGCACGATTCAGGTAGATTTTGGTTTCTATAGTATTGTGATAGTTTTAGGTACAATGGTTTACAATTCAGAACTACACATTTATCTACTGCATAGTGCTCAAAATCGTGTTCAAATGTCACGTTGTACTCAAAATAGTTCGAATATCGTGTTCAGAAAAATATGTTTTATTATTCATTGTAAAAATCCTCGTCTATTTTTGTTCCTTCAATGTCAATTCTATTTCATATATCCCCAAAATTCGTTAAAAAAATATTGCTTGCCACCTTTCCGTTGCGAGTAAAAGTTTCATGCGTGTAAATCTACGTTGCACGAGAAAAAAATATCCACGTCTATAATTGAAATAGCGGAGTACCCCGTGGCGATTTTGCGGCAAAGAAGGGGGAGGAGCACGTCTGGCTCGCAGCCGCGAAATTGGTGGAAAACCGTAGCGAATTTACAAGCATGCATACCGCCCTCGCAACAATGCGTAATATTATTAAAGCGCGGCGGGACGAGAGATATTGGAGCGTTAGTAGGCGAGATACAAATGGAAAATGAAACCATTATACGACGAACGCTTCGTCGCGATCAATGAATACGCGAAAATTGCGGACAGAAAATTCCTTGTAATCGATCGTGTCAACCAATCTTTTGGAAGATCTACAAATTTAAGAATGAGAAATATTGCAGCTTTTATATTGAAATGTAGAGAGGAGAACAGTTTTTTT